CCATTAGTGAAAGTTGGAGTGTTTCTACATTTGCTGTCATAAAGACCATTGTAAGGGACATTATATGGTTGAACAAAGTATGGTACCTTTCCTTGACCATCATTAGGGTCAAGATCTTCTCATTTATGTTTAATAAGTTTATGTTTCACAAAGTTCTTTAAGTTGGGTGGTCTGGTCTCTGAGTCTTCAAGAGATCAGAAGATGACAATTAGAAGGTTGGGATGAAGTTAGTGGGAAGGAAAAGACTGTTTGTGAACAGGCATAGAAATCCAGAGAAAACTGCCACTCACAAGCACTTGGAAGGATACAGCATCTGTCACCATGCTCAGTTGTTTAGGTCTGTGACCGCACAGGGCTTCCTACACAGATCCATACCCATTCGGGGTAAGGGTTACCTCTTAATCACACAAAGGCACCATCCACTTACCAGGTTCAGGTTTTCAGGGCTGTGTGCACACACAGGGACAGTCTTGCCCTCATCTATCATCCCAGAGGGTGTGCCTTGTTCTAATTTGCATAAAAGAAACAGGCGAAGGACAGCTCTGCTCTAGATGATAGTGTTAAAAACACTGACCTTAAATTATCAAGGAAATGCTAAATTATCTTAGCTTTTCAGTAAATATGCATGGCTTATTTATTTTAGTATATGAAGGATAAATTTGGGCTATCCAGAAGGTTAAATTAGGTGAAACATCATAGGCACCAGATTAAGTGGTTTTATTGGCTCTGAGTAATTCAGTTTTTATTGGCTCTGAGTATTTTGTATCTCATATTTGATAAATAAGGGATTCTGCTTGGTTGAAAGAATACTAGGGACAAGGAATAACTAATCCTTTTAGGTCATACATATTTAGGGAAGAACCCAGCTTTACAAGTAAGTATAATAGACAACACAGAAATGAATCTGCCCGCCAGGTGCTGTGGCACATGTCTTAATCCCAGCGACTTGGGAAGATGAGGCAGGAGGGTCACAAGTTCAAAGCCAGCCTCAGCAATGGTGAGGCTCTAAGCAACTCAGTGAGACCCTGTCTCTAAATAAAATACAAAATTGGGCTGGGAATATGTCTCAGTGGTGGTCGAGGGCCCCTGAGTGCAATCCCAGTACCCACCTGCGCCCCCCCCCCAAAAGCGTGGATCTGTGCAGAAGAAGGTAACATGTATCCTTTAGAACCTGCCTGGGATCCTTAGTGATCTTGCATTACTAAATACCCTGGTTTCCACATTTAAAAGTCATCAAAATGACAATTCCCTAAATGACCTGTCAGGCCAAGAAAAGGATCTTCGTAATACTTTGCCTTTGCTTAATATTGTTGGGGTGTAGCAAATAATACCTCCCCAAACCTGAAAAGGTCTTAAAAACAGGCTCAGGTCTGTAATCCCAGAAGGCTGAGGCAGTAGAATCCAAGTTCAAAGCCAGCTTCAGCAATTTAGCAGGGCCTTAAGCAACATAAAGTGACCCTATTTCAAAATAAAAAAATAAAAAGGTGTGGGGATATGGCTTAGTGTTTAAGCACTCCTGGGTTCAATCCCAGGAACCAAAAAAAAAAAAAAAAAAAAAAAGCAGGAGAGCTTACTTTGGAATTTCTGTACATGCATTAACAACTGCCTTCCATCTGCACCTGTTTCTGGAGAGAAGCCTGAGGAATGTAACCACACCTGGACAGAATTCCTTTATAAGACAGCATCTGGGGGCTGGGGTTGTAGCTCAGTGATAGAGCACTTGCTTGGCATGTGTGAGGCACTGGGTTCAATCCTCAGCACCACAAAAGAATAAATAAATAAAATAAAGGTGTGGTGTCCATCTACAGCTAAATAAATAAATAAAATAAAAAAGAAAGAAAAAGAAAAAAGACTGTCTGTCCCTGGGCATATTCAAATTTTGAAGGTTGTTTCTGGAACCATTCATTCTCCTAGCAAATTTAGACCCTTCAAAATTGTCTACATTTCTCATTCTCTCCCTATCCTATAGACAAAGGGGGCACATAAGCTTCTGAAATATTTTGGGCTAGTGGTTAATGACACTATGTCATGGCCTATGTGCACGAAATAAATTTGTATTTTTTCTCCAATCTTTCTTTGTTTATTCCAGTAAAACTTCAGAAGGCAGAAGGGAAATTTCTCTTTGCCTTTAAAACATATTTCTCCAGGAACCCAGTGCTGAAGCATTTATGATTTACAGAAACCATAGGGAAAGGTCATTGCAAAAACTCGTACAGCCCAAAGTTCTACAAATAAAACAGTTTAGTAAAAGCAAAATAATAATAATAACAATAATTTTAAAAAATTAAAAAAATTAAACCTACCTTCTGTGTCTGAAAGATAAGGCTTGAGTTTTGGATTTTGAAAAGCTGTGGATTAGGTTGTACACTTCTCACCCAGCAACCTGAGAAGCTTTGGACAATTCAGATACAATTTCTCGGTCCTTCCTCCCTCTCCTTTCTCCTTTCTCACTGTCTTTCTCTCCTTCCTTTTCTTCTTCTTTTTTTAAAAATTTTTATTTTCTGTCAAATTATCTGAATTCTACCTTAATCTACAAGTAGTAATTAGGATTTCCAGACATGACAACTCATTGCTATTTTCCCCCTTTAATTTGCCTAGAAAAGGGTAGAGAGGATACCTTCACTATTGTCAGTGAGAAATGCTTTGTTGCCCTGAAAAATGCTCTTAAACTGGTCCTCTCAGAAAACAAACAATGACTTCACAGAGGAGCTTGTTCCCACCTACTTGGTACACTGTACCTTTTACCTACCAGCTTGATTAGCTGAGGGAAATCTCATTTCCATAACCACATGCCCTTTGTGTTTCAGGATGGCCCCATTCCAAGGATGCAGTTTCCATATGAAAGAAGGACAGAGGCCCACCAGACATTGGATATCATTTGTCCAGATTGTCCACAAATTTCTGGTTGTTTTAATCTCTTACCACCTTGCAGAACGAGGTAAATTTGCAGATGTCTGTACCCTCTTCAACAACTTAATGACCAAATATTAAATTAATTTAACTACTAATTAAAATTTAATTTAATTTAATTCAACCACACAGGTGCCTACTTTCTTATGGTTGGTTCTCAGAACTGGAATGCACCCAAGAGAAGGAAAAAAAAAAGACCCCCTGAGCCCATCACCATCTCCCAGGCAATTGGCCCAAAACATTGTGCAGTCTCTGTAACTTGTCTTTTTTCCACAGAACAATCAATGTCAGATCCCAGCTGGGGTAAACCCAAGCCAGCGCATCTCTGTCCTTTAGATATGTAAAAATATGTAAAAAGAATGACCACTGTTCTCACAGAGTCATTTCAAAATGGCAATTTTTCTATTATGCAGTTTTTAATAGTGAAAGTTTTTCTTGACAGTGAGATGCAAAAACCACTCAGCTGCTCAGTGAGGCAGAGTTAAAATATTCTGCAAAGGCAGCCTCTACAGAACAGGCAGAACCCCGCGGCTACCAATTTGTGAACACATAACTAGAGGGACAAGACAGGTGTACTGACACAGAGTCACTGCCCAGAAAAGCATTTTATTATAGTTTACTTTAAAAATAAACACTTTATGGCAAACTGTTTTAATGGTAAGTGACTACGGGGAATAAAAATTGTGTAGCAGAATCAAACACCAGGCCCTCCCTGGGGTTGCACTAGCTTTCTCTCAAAGCTGTGGGCACATCATTTCTTTTTCCACTTATATATTATAGGGATGGGGGTGGGGTGTCCTTGGTTCTGTAGCTATAGCTCTGAAATTTGTTAATCAAATGAATTCCTGTCCTAGTATCCAGTGAGCCTGATAGTTTGGCTTCTGGGGATGGATTCTGCCCTGGCCAGTCAGTAATGTCTCCCTTGGTGTTATTTTTTCCTGTTTGAAAACTCTGCACTGAAAATTTATTTTATTTTAATCCTGTAAAAAACAGGATTGCTGTGTCCAAGAGAAAGAAACATATCTGATGACTTTTGGGAATACTGGGCTGCTCTCATTAACTTTCCCTGTTCATTTAAAACACTACAAGCAGAAAAGCCCAAGTTGCCATTTATAAAAGGCCACATTGGGACTCCTACTGCCATGGGAACATACCTGTGGGAGTGAGTGTGGGCATGTGGTGTACTAGTGGGTCCGTGTAAATTTATGGATTTGTGTGAATTCGTATTTATCTGCTATGTGTGTGTATAAGAATTTTGGGGTGGATGTGTTGTACATGTGTTTGTATGTGAATGCGTGTATGCGTATTCATTGTATATGTGTTTATGATTGCTTGTGTGAGTCTGTGTATAACAAGGTGTTTTTATTGTTTGTGAATAGGTTTATATGTCTGTGTTGTTTATGTTAATGTGTATGACTGCAAATGTGTATATGAGTATATGTTGTGTGTGAGTTTGTGTTTGAGCCAGCATCTCAATGCGAGCATGTGTGTTGTTACCTGCATAACAGTGTGTATTTGTACTTTTGTAAAAAGAAGTGCATACTGTGGGTGACATTTTCTATATGTGTATTTGTGTGTATTCTTGTTTGTATTAGTGTGACCATTGTGTAAATGTGTATTTGTGCAAATGTATGCTGTGAGTGTGCTCATGTATGTGTCTGTGCATGAATGTTCATTTGTATGTGTGTATTTGTGTGTATGTGCGCATTGCGTTTGTGTGAATGTATTGGTCTAAGTGTGCATTTTGTGAGTATGCATTTGTCTATGTGTATGTAAGTGTATTTTGTGTGTGTGTGTGCACTCACGCCTTGTGCCTGTGAGCGGGTGTGCGGTGCCTCCTGGCTCCTCGACCTTGCAGCTTTCTGCCCCATACAGGCGGCGCTGGGGCAGAGGCCTGGGCCAGGGCAGGAAAGGGAAAAGCCCACACTGGGGTGAGCGCGCTGTGCCACCGCCGCCGCCACGCCACTGCGCCGACTTTGCCCTTTAAATCGGTCTCCAAGCCGATTACAGCTGATCTCCCACGTGACGTTTTACCTTCTGTCTCCCGGAGCGCGTTGCCCGAGGACAGTCCTTCTCTGCTGCCGCGCATCGCACCGCCCAGCCCGCCGCGGGGGCTCGGCTCCCGCAACTTTGGGCGAAGCGGCGGCGGGTTCCGGCGCCCTCGGGGACCGCTGTCCACCCAGGCGTCCCAGGCTCGGCGACTTTCGTCTCGAGGGTAGGGCGGCGATCTGGGCGGAGAACGTGTCCCGGACCCTGCTCTGCGCCTCTTAGACCCGCGCGCGGCCGCTCCTCGGGGACAGGCAGGGTGCCCTGCGCGCTGTGTCGGGAAAGGGGGCGCCCTACGCCAGCCAGCACCAGAGCGGGCGTGCCCTCGGGGGAGACTGCCGAGCGATGGCCCTGAGGCTGGGGTGAAGCGGGAGGCCACCCGAACCTCCCTAGCCTTCTCAACATGCAGAAGAGCGTGCGCTACAACGAGGGGCACGCCCTGTACCTGGCCTTCCTTGCACGCAAGGAGGGCACCAAGCGCGGCTTCCTGAGCAAGAAGGCGGCGGAGGCGAGTCGCTGGCACGAGAAGTGGTTTGCTCTTTACCAAAATGTGCTCTTCTACTTCGAGGGCGAGCAGAGCGGCCGCCCGGCGGGCATGTACCTCCTGGAGGGCTGTAGCTGCGAACGGACACCCGCGCCACCCAGGGCCGGCGCCGGACCTGGAGGGGCCCGGGACACTCTGGACAAGCAGGTACTGCACACCCTCCCTTCTCAGTCTCCCAGTCTGTAACCTCAGCACTCCCAAGCTGTTCTAACCCTAGGGAAGCATGTATTTGTGTGTGGCTTGGGGTGAGAGGGGGGTTTAACTGAGCTCAGGGATGGTGTTCCAAGATCCCCCTGCAGAGTCTGTGGTAGGACATCTCCTAGCGTCTCCCCACCGGCATACAGGGATTCTCCCATCTTCATCTCTCCCACCCCACCACCAAGTGATCAGTTGGAACAGGGACCCGGCTTTTTCCCAATCCTGATGAAGGTCGGGCGTTTCAGTTTCTCTGCTAACCATCCGGTGCTTTTTCTAGAACTTGTTCAGAAGGATTTTGTGTGGTGATGTGTTTTGACACCTGTTGGATTTAGATTGGCAAGACCCAACTAACTTATTTGGGAAAGTTTGGTTTCTCCCTTACCCGCGGGCGCCTGTAGATTTCTTTACCTGCGGAGGATTGACCGCTGGCTGTGCTGGGAACTTACGGTGTTCTCAAAACCAAGAGACACTCCTGTCCGTCATTTTCAGCCAGTCCTTGTGGTTTAGGTCAGTTTACTTTGCTAAACATTTGACCTGATGGGGTCAGTTATGAAGGTAAATGTGTATCCATCCATTCTTCTTAGGGTTAATATTTCGTCGGCCACATTCTTGCTGTGTTTCAAAATGTGGGCATTTTAAAAGGACGCTTCTGTACTTTTTAATGAATGCTTTGAAATTGAGTGCGAGCTTTAAATTCTGGGTCACAATTTTGTAAGTTTTCTGGTGTGTGCAGAGGGTGGGGAGGAGGGACCTTCTAGATTTAGTAACCCCTGTTCTCCATTTCTGCAAATACAAAATATTTCTTTTCAATCACCGTTTGGTTATTAAAATAAAAGCAGACTAATTTTGCGCTCCCAAATGTTTTCACTTTGCTTCTAGATCCAAACCTTGTGGGTAGGGGTGCGGGGAGACTGATTGTCTTAGCTGTTGAATAAAAATATTTCGTAGCTGAATTTTCCATGCAAGTCAGACCAAACTGTATCTGCTGCAGACTACAGAGGCTGTGGGAGGCGCTAGCCAGGAAATAATGCAGAAGATACTTACCTAACCTCTTGGGGCTCATAAAACAATGAGTAAAATGAAAAGAAGTTAAAACTAGATCATTCAGAAGTTTCATTTTTTTTTCCACTTTGGTGTCACTGTAAATCACTAATGAACTTAACTGATTACACTTGTTATAACACTTACAAATCCGAAATTTTAAAAATATGCCCTTTGGTGGTTGAGGGCATGTTCAAAGTCATTTGAAAAACTGATTTCCAACTTAGCAGGTATAAGCACTGGAAATATAAACATAAATTTCAGGTTGTGCATTTTAGAATTTAAATTAGAAGAGTTTTTGAGGAAACAGTTTTTTTTCTATTGATGAGATTCTTTTTTTTTTAAATCGTGTATACCAATGCCCCACAGAAACCAAAACAAATAGGTTTTTAAGTTATTGTGTCTAAAATAAAAGAAGGTACTTTAATTTCTCTTTTTCTTTTTAGCTCTGGGTGGGGAGCTGTTACTTGTTACAACCTATATAGCTCTCTGACCTGTTATCATTATATGTAAACCGGTATTTTTCTACTTGGAAAATACTGGATTCTTATCTTCAGGACAGTTTTTCTTTAAGTCAGACTTTAATAATAAAAGAAATGGAATTCTCAAATAGTTTGACTTTCATGTGGAAGTTCTAAAGAGGTCTTATGAGAAGTTTTTTCTCTGTTTACAATCATGTGAGTTATGACCATTTCTCAGTCATTTTATGCATCTTTAATATGAAAGGTTCTATGTAAGAAATTAGAAGCTTTAATATTTGAATCTAAAACTAAGATGTAGAGAAGCCACCATTCCAGAATAGATTCAAAGTAGGATTGGGAAGTCTCTTAAATTTTGTCTTATGTTAGACATGCTTTGGTGACTTGGGTTAGCCCAGCAGACTAATGCTTAATCTCTGTGTCATAATAAGGCTGTCTATCTGGGCGTGTTTGAAGAATTAATAAGACAATGTTGTGGAAATAAGAAAGAAGGAGAAACGCTATATTAAATCTACGGTTTACGCCATTGGTTCCCTTTGGGTTAATTGTGTTTCTGTTATGATTGAATCCTCTCAAACTCTGAGGAGTCATGGACCTGAGTGACTGGTGAGCTTGAGGGAGGATGTGATCTCAAGGTCATCTTCTCCACATGTTTCTAGAGCTTTCTGTGTAACTCTATCCTCAACCCTATAACCCTAGTTGAAGGTAAGAACTTGACATAAGATTTCAAGAGACAGTAGTTTTCCTCCACCATGTTGCCTAGTGACTCTTTTAGACAAATCTCTTAATGTTTTCTCCGTCCCCACCCTGTGAAATCTCTATGTCGTAATATGTGAAAATTAAGCATTTGGAAATAACATGATTTTTAAACTGCCTTCCAATATTGACAGTTTCTGTTTCCAAGGTTCAAATGGATGGCATGAGCTTTTTGCCTGTGGAGGATGTGAAAGGCAGTTTCACAGATTTAAAGATTATGGGAATCTGTAATAAACAGTGCATCTGAGAAGCTGAGGACAAGCAGGTGACTGAAACGGACATTCTGAAAAATCAGGTCAGCAGATATGCAGACCTAGAGTAACATCATTGACAGAGTTTTTTTTTTTTTTTTTTTTTTTTTGTAGTACTGCAAGACTGAACCTGAGTACTCTACCACGGAACTACTTCTGCAGCCCCTTTTATGTTTTATTTTGAGATAGGGTCTCTCTGTGTTGCCCAGGCTAGTCTCAAACTTTCAATCTTTTTGCCTCAGCCTCCTTAGTAGCTGGGATTACAGATGTATGCCAGCTGAGAGACATTCTTATCTTTTCCAATGGATGAAGACATATAGTGTCTTCAACAGTTACAATGATTGATGTAATTCTTGATATACCTTGTCTCTAAACATTCTTAAGAGTTTAAATTCTACTTCTAATTTTAAAATTATAATTAATTGTGTTTTTATGGTAATTACATGAAAACACTCATTATTTTGCTTTATTTAAATAATGATTCAAAGTAAATTGGTTGACCAAAGAAAAGAAAAAAATCCAAGGTTTTTTCTTTTTCTTTTTTTTAGCTGTTTGTCTAAAACTGTTTCCAGTTATGTGGGAAAACAAAAACAAAACAAACAAACAAAAAATGAAAGGTATTTGTCACTTTCCAAATATACACTGCTTCATGAATTTCTTAGTGTTTCAAGATTTCCCTTGAGACTCCTTGGCAGATTGCTAGGCTCTCTTATCAGCCTTATATGGTGACTACTTTTTTTTGGCATAGTAATACTGATATAATCGCAGTGAATTTGGTTTTCTAAGTGGTTCCTTTTTGCCAAAATGATGTTTCTTTTCTCCAAATGTGTCTGGATAGCACTTCTTCTTAAGAAAGCTCCATTTAATGGGAAATGAAAAACTTCCCTCTCATTATAGGTAAGGGTGTTAAGGAGAAAGGGAACATGCATTTCTTAAGTACCTTCTGTATGTCTGACTTTGTGCTTGAAATATTATCCTCCATCACTTCATCTAATTTAAACTTCACTTTAGCTCTTGGAGACCATTGTCATCATCATCATTTTTATTTTTACCTATGTTAATACTGAGGTTAGACCAGTTCTAGGTAGCTAATTAAAGTCCAACTCCAGATATGAAGACTAACTATGCCATAGAATGCCTTGCTAAGGAGATTGTATCTAAAACTGATTTTTAAATTTTTTTTAGTTGTAGATGGACACAATACCTTTTTAATTAAATTAATTAATTAATTAATTAATTTTTATGTGGTGCTGAGGATCGAACCCAGTGCCTCACACGTGCTAGGTGAGCGCTCTACCACTGATCTTTAGGAAATGGAAAATATGGATGAGATGGGAGTTGGGAATGTAATGTGTGAATCACTATTTTGTTCATTTATATTGCCCTTTGAAAACTATTTAAATGACTATTGTTAATTCTTGAGAAATACAACTGTTGGCCAATATATGTTCATAGAAAAATTTGACTTACTTGAATTTAAAAACAATTTTTTTTTAGTCATGGTAGTTATATATCACAGTGGGGTTCATTTTAACATATTCATAAATAAATATAACATAGTTTTCCCCATTTCCATCCTGGTACTATTCCCTTCCTTGCCCTCTTCCCTCCCCCTGGGATTTACTTTTAAACAAACAATTTCATTGGGAATTCCTTTACTTCAAAGATGGACCTTTGTAGGTACTTGTACTTGGTGTAAAAAGTACATATTCTGTGGCTGTGGCTGTGGCTCGGTGGTAGGGAGCTTGCTTTGTGCATGTGAGGCACTGGGTTCTATCCTCAGTATTATATAAAAATAAATGAATAAAGATATTGAAAAATAGATATCATTATTTTTTTTAAAAGCACACATCCCAATTAGTCTGGTGTGTTTAAGTAGTTGTCTTGCCTGCTAGCAAGAGATGTATACAGGAACAAAGCCTGCTTTCTTCTTCTTCTTCTAGTGATGTTAAAGTTTCTACAGCCCAACTGCCTTGTTTAGTGTGTGTGTGTGTGGGTATCTCCTTAGCTCTGCAAGTGTGTACTGTAGATACTTGTCATATTTGTGATGAATTAAGCATATTGATTTAATCTCAAAAGGGGTTCACGTTTATATTATTTTCCTATCACCTCATTACTATTATTTCCTATCACCTTATTTTAACTTTCCTAACTTGATTACAAGAAAAAGATTTTAATCCTTTTATTAAATTAGACAGAGTTATATGCAAACTCTTAAATATTTGCAAGGGTATAGAGTGTGGATGGGGGATTTTCATTTTTGTTCATGTTGTTTAATTGATTTTAATAAACAAATCCATGTTTTCTTTTCAACCTTTCCTTACTAACCACAAATGAAGGGAAAATGGAATAAATTTTTATGCTAAGTCATATAAGATGTTTAAAAATACAATCTGGAGAACCAAAATAATTTATTACTTAT